TCTCCTCCCTATACCGTCACCTCCTCCATCATCACGTATCACACACCTCCATCCCCGTACATATCTCCTCCCTATAACACCGTCACCATCCAACATCATCACGTATCACACACCTCCATACCCCGTACATATCTCCTCCCTATACCGTCACCTCCTACATATTTACACATATACACACACCTCCATCCCTGTACATATCTCCTCCCTATACCGTCACCTCCTCCATCATCACATATCACACACATCTCATCCCTGTAATATCTCCTCCCTATACCGTCACCTTCCTCCATCATCACGTATCACACACCATCACCCATCCCCGTACATATCTCCTCCCTATACCGTCACCCTTCCTACATCACACGTATCACACACACCTCCATCCCTGTAACATATCTCCTCCCTATACCGTCACCTCCAACATCAAACACGTATCACACACACCTCCATCCCCGTACATATCTCCTCCCCTAATACCGTCAACCTCCTCCATCATCACGTATCACACACCTCCATCCCCGTACATTATCTCCTCCCTATAACCGTCACTCCTCCATCATCACGTATCACACACCTCCATCCCCCGTACATATCCCTCCCTATACTGTCACCTCCTACATCATCACGTATCACACACCTCCATCCCTGTACATATCTCCTCCCTATACCGTCACCTCCTACATATCACATATCACACACCTCCATCCGTGTACATATCTCCTCCCTATACCGTCTCTCCTACATATCACATATCACACACCTCCATTCCCCGTACATATCTCCTCCCTATACCGTCACCTCCTCCATCATCACGTATCACACACCTCCATCCCCGTACATATCTCCTCCCCTATACCGTCACCCTCCTCCATCATCACGTATCACACACCTCCATCCCCGTACAATATCTCCTCCCTATACTGGTCACCTCCTACATCATCACGTATCACACACCTCCATCCCTGTACATATCTCCATTTCCTATACCGTCACCTCCTACATATCGACGTATCACACACCTCCATCCCCTGTACATATCTCCTCCCTATACCGTCACCTCCTACATATCACACACATGACTACCTCTGATCCCACCTCACATCTCCCTCTTCTCTCTGCAGGGATCCATATCTACCAGAAGATGTAACGGCTGTGAGCTGAGTGATGACGGCACCACTGCGGGGTAATGAACAGTACGGATATGATGGGAGAGAATTCTCCTCTCTGGACACACAGAGATGGATCTGGATCCTAACGACCATGAATGAGGCTCAGTCACCACACAGAGATGGAACAGTCCGAGGTCAGAGAGGGGGAGAGAAACAAGAATTATCTGGAGAATATCTGTTCTGGAGAGCTCAAGCAATTCATAGAGTATGGAGAGAAGATCTGGGAGAGGAGAGGTGACTGTAAATACATGTTATTATCCACACGCAATGTATACACGCTATATACACGCTATGTACACGCTCCACCCTATATACATTATTTACACACTTATACACTATACCAGGGAATGCACCAAGTATACCAGCGGGCCAGAATGTATGAGCCGCAAATATTGTTAGCGTTTTGCTGATGGGAAAAAGGAAGCTGATAATGGCCACTGAAAACGTGCAATTTTTACAGCGATTAGGTGTGCGTTTTGCATAGTCATGTGACTCAAAAATAAAGCATCAAAATACAACACGTGTGCATTGTCAATGCATTTCAGGCGCCTGGTTCACACCAGCAGTTTGCCTTTTTGTCTGTTTTGCATGTTAGTGGCATTTTTTACACTTTTTTTAAAATGCGTTTTGGGGCAATTTTTTTAATTTTTAATTTATTTTGACCAAATTGTTGCTGGGCAGATTAAAAACACAAAATGCTATCAAAAACTAAATACATGAGTGTTTTCCATTTTTGCTGCTTTCAGTACATTTATGGCCTGTTTCACACCAATGCAGTTTGTGGTTTTTGTCCTTTTTTGCAGTGCTGTTTTCTGTTTTACACGCATGTTTTTTACACATTTTTTTGATGCGGTGTATGTTTTATGTATGGTGTTTTTTTTTTTTTTTTCGTTTTTTTGGCCAACTTGTTGCTGGACAGATTTAAAAACGCATCAAAAAGGCAAACACATCAAAAAAGGCATGCTTTCAATGCATTTCAGGCTACATGACCTATATACCCTGCATACACTCTACGCCCTTTACACACTGTGTACGCACTATACACCGATTTATACCAGGGATGGCACCAATATACCAGCGGTCAAAATGTATCAGCTGAAAAATATCGTTTGCCACTTGCCGATAGGAAAAAAGAAGCCGATAATGGCTGCTGCAAATGTGCAATTTGTGTCATGATTTTACCGCGATTATGGTGCTGGGTTTTAGTCATTAGTCACGCGATTCAAAAACCATCAAAATGCAACACGTGCATTTTTGAATGCATTTTCAATGCATTTCAGGCTTGGTTCACCCCAGCAGTTTGTGGTTTTTGTCTGTTTTGCATGTGCGTTTTTTGACTTTTTTTTTTTGTGTGTTTTGTAAATTTGTTTTCTTTTTTTTTGTCAACAAGTGTTTGCCGGGCAGATTAAAAAACGCAAAATGCATCAAAAACTAAACACATGAGTTTTTGATGCATTTTGCAGTGCATTTTCAGCGCTGTTTTTCATACCAATACAGGTTGCGTTTTGTCTGTTTTTCAGCGCATTTTTTTTTTATGTCCAGTGTGTTTTTTGAATGTTCTTTTTAAAGCTTTTTTTTTTGGGGAGGGGGGTCAAATTGTTGCTAGGCAGATTTAAAAATGCATCAAAAACGACAAACACATGAGTTTTTGACACATTTTTGCTGTTTTCAGTGCATTTCCAGCCTGCTTCACACCAGTGCAGTTTGCGTTTTGTCCTTTTTGCAGTTCATAATTGTGTTTTATGCACGCACGTTTTTGACACCTTTTTTTATGCGGTTTTACGGTTTTTTATTTTTTTTTGGCCAATTTGTTGCAGGGCAGATTAAAAAGCAAAAACTTGTAAAAATGCGTCAAAAACGCACTTACATGCGTTTTTTGCATCTATTGATTTCTGTTGCACCAAAACCGCACTGTTTTGCATTTAAAAAAAGTCCCTGACCCTTTCCAAAAATGCAGCTGCTCAAAAAAGCTCAAAAAAGCATAGATGTGAATGTGTCCCATAGAAAGTCATGTTTTTAATGGACTGTAGTGCATTTCTGCAAAAAAAGCCGTAAAAAAATGCAATTGATGGTGGGTCCAGGCTTCTCAATGGGGAGGTGCATTTTTGGTGCGCCCAAAATGCGCGGCAAGCAGGATTTAACACCAAGTACAACACAAGGGAAGCGCAACAGACCAGTGTGAAGACATACATTGAATTTAAAGGGATGCATTTTTCTTTTTTTTTTATTCTTGAGCTTTTCTTGTGCCTTTTTTTTTTTTCTCTCTTTACTCAAAAGTGCTGCAAAAACTGCTGAGTGTGAAAGCAGCCTATTGCTATGGAGGCCCCCACTACTCCATTTTTCTATTCGCACATTGAGCTGTGGCTTGGCCCCCGCCCCCTCTCTGCTCATTGGCTCACTGGCTGCGATTGACAGCATTGGGAGCTAATAGCTCCTGCTTCTGTCTCAGCCAATAAGAAGAGGGAGACCCGGGATAGCCGAGACTCCAGTGCACATCACTGAAGCGAGAGGGGGCTTAGGTGAGTATTGGGGGGGGGGGCTGGGGGGGTGCTGCACACAGGTTTTTTTTTACATTCATGCATAGAATGCATGAAGGTAAAAAACCTTGAGCCTTTAGAACCACTCTAAGTACACCCATGTGAACAAGGCCTAAGAATCTAAGATCACAGAAAAGCTCAATCTGCACAATTGTGCCATGAAAAACAAATTTTATTTTTGGAACTTTATTTTGGTGGTATTTGATCATCACTGAATTTATTTTTTATTATGTAAATGAAAAAAGACCAGGAGGGTGGCAAGAAAAAAGCCGCTCCTCAAGAAAGGCCACATATAGTCATGACTGAGCTTTGCCAAAACACACCTTGAAGATTCTGAGGCAACATGGAAAAAGGTGTTCTGGTCAGATGGGACTAAAATGGAATGATTTGGCCTCAACACTAAATGAAATGTCTGACAGAAATCCAATCCAGCTCACCATCCAAATCCCACCATTCCTACAGTAAATCATGGAGGGGGAATATCCTGGTATGGGGGGGGTTCTCTGCAGCAGGGACTGGAGAACTTGTCAGGATAGAAGGAAAAATGCCATCAAAATTCTGAGGAAAATCATCTGCCAGAAAGTCCAACATGGCAATGACCCAAAGCACAGAGCAAAAAAGACCCCACAGTGGTTGGGAGAGAAATGGGTGACAGTCCTTGCATGGCGGGTCAGAGCCCAGACTTATCCACTTCAATACCGGGGACTGTCACCCCCTTCCTGCCCAGGACAATTTTCAGCTCTCTGGCACTATGAATGAGAATTGCGCAGTCATGCAACACTGTACCTAAATTCAATTTTTATCATTTTGTTCACACAACTAGAGCTTTCTTTTGGTGGTATTTACTCGCCACTTGTTTTTTATTTTTTGCTAAACTAAAAAAGACAAACGTTTGGTAAAAAAACTTTTTTTTTTTTTTCGTTTCTGTTATAAAATTTTTCAAATAAATGTTGTTCCTAAATTTAGGCCAAGATGTATTCTGCTACATTTTTTGGTGAAAATAACCCAAATCAGTGTTTATTATTGTTCTGGACATTAATACTGAAAATGTTATAGGGAACTCCTAACTCCTATTGATTAGTGGTTCCAATTTAACCACCTCCCGCCTGCCATATAGTATAATGATGGGCGCGAGGCGGTTCTCTCGTTCTGGGAGGACGTCATATGACGTCTTCCAATTCTCACCACGCATGCGTGGCTCTGGGAGCGCGCGTCGATCAGCGATGCGCTGTGTCCCTCGGACACAGCGGATCACCGATCTATGAAAAAAGCCGAAGATGTCGGCTCGGTTATGTGATCAGCTGTGTCCAGTCACAGCTGATCGCATGTAAACAGGGAAATGCCGGTTATTGGCATTCCTCTCACGAGCTGTCACACTGACAGAGGAGAGCCGGTAATTGGCATTCCTCAGAGGGGACATCTACACTGATCATCAGGGCATTGATGATCAGTGTGCCCTGATGATCAGTGTAGCCACAGCAGTGTTACCTGTCAGTGTCCATCAGTGCCATGTGTCAGTGCTCATCCACGCCACCTGCCAGTGCCACATTTCAGTGCCTACCAGTGCACATCAATGCCACATATCAGTGCCCATCTGAGCTACCTTTCAGTGTCACCCATCAGTGCAGTCAGTGCCACCTATCAATGCCAGTCAGTGTCATGTATCAGTGCTGCCAATCAGTGCCGCCTAACAGTGCCAGTCAGTGCCCGCCTATCAGTGCCAGTCAGTGCCGGATATAAGTGCCATCTATCAGTGCCATATATGAGTGCTGCCTTTCAGTGCCCATCAGTGATGCCTGTCAATGCCCATCAGTGTTACCTACCAGTGCCTCCTCATCAGTGTCCATCAGTGCCACCTATTAGTGTCCCATCAGTGCAGCCTGTCAGTGCCCATCACCACAGCCTCATTAGCGCACATCAGTGAAGGAGGAAAAATCACTTGTTTACAAAATTTTATAACAAAAACTAAGAAAAAACTTTTTTTTTTCAAAATTTTCAGTGGTTTTTGGTTTGTTTAAGAAAAAATAAAAATCCCAGAGGTGATTAAATACCACCAAAAGAAAGCTCTATCTGTCACAAAAAATTATAAAAATGTCATATTGGTACAGTGTTGCATGACCGCGCAATTGTCATTCAAAGTGTGCTAGCACTGAAAGCTGGAAATTGGCCTGGGCAGGAAGGGGGGTAAAAAGTGCCCGGTAGGCTGGTTGTTAATAAATACTGCAGTGGGGAACAGACACAAAACGATACACTCGGGCATCTTTCCAAATAAACTGTTCTGTTTATTTGTATTTGAAGTATTTTTATACACATGATTATGTAGGGATCACATTAATATTACAATTGTACTTTTATGGTAACTGTTAGAAGCTTTCCATAACCTAATATCTAATATCTGCTTATTAACATTACTAACATTTGTGTATGAATGTGTTGGATCTTAATAGAATAATTGTGTTGTTAGATTTTTTATTTGTTCTAGATTGGGAAAAGTGAGATAAACAGACTATTGTTAGTCTATGTCAGGGGTGGGCAAACTTTTTGACTTGAGGGCCGCAATGAGTTCATATATTGGACCCGGGCCGGACCAAGAGTAGATGAATGATGTGTATGTGTCATCCATAGTAAGTATAGTAATATTCCCCCATAGTAAGCATAGTAATTAATCCCCCATATAGTAATTCATCCCCCATAGTAATTCATCCCCCATATAGTAATTCATCCCCCATAGTAATTCATCCCCCATAGTAATTCATCCCCCCATATAGTAATTCATCCCCCATAGTAATTCATCCCCATAGTAATTCATCCCCCATAGTAATTCATCCCCCCTATAGTAATTCATCCCGCAAAGTAATTCATCCCCCATATAGTAATTAATCCCCTATAGTAATTCATCCCCCATATAGTAATTCATCCCCCATAGTAATTCATCCCCCATATAGTAATTAATCCCCCATATAGTAATTCATCCCCATAGTAATTTATCCCCCATATAGTAATTCATCCCCCATATAGTAATTCATCCCCCATAGTAATTTATCCCCCATATAGTAATTCATCCCCCATATAGTAATTCATCCCCCATAGTAATTCATCCCCCATATAGTAATTCATCCCCCATATAGTAATTCATCCCCCATAGTAATTCATCCCCCAAAGTAATTCATCCCCCATAGTAATTCATCCCCCATATAGTAATTCATCCCCCATAGTAATTCATCCCCAGATTACATATAGTAATTCATCCCCCTCTATAGTAATTCATTCCCCATATTAAGCCCCCAAGTCCCCCCTGTGTCAATTCACTTACCTTTGCTCCTTGCGTTCCTCTCGCCGTGTTCCCGCGCCGTTCCGGTGTAGCATGAAAATCTGTCTCCTATGAGGATCTGTCCCCCTCGACGTATCTGCGCATGTGCCAGTTTCAGGCATTAGCAGCCGATCGGCGATCTCCGGCACATGCGCAGATACGTCGAGGGGGGACAGATCCTCATAGGAGACAGATTTTCATGCTACACCGGTCTTCAGGGCGGACTGTGAGAGGAGCCTAGCGGGAGCCTAGCTCCGCGGGCCGGATTAAAAAGGTCCGCCGGGCCGTATACGGCCCGCGGGCCGTAGTTTGCCCATTGCTGGTCTATGTGAATACATATGTATATGGATATATACAGTATCTTGATTATGCAAGAGCTGGAAGGACTTTCTATTTTTGGACTTTTCTCACAATACAAGTTAACAAAATATTGAGACAATCCGGTATTTTACAGTAACGAGGGGGCATTACATAGGCAGGTAAATTCAATCAGGGCTTGAAAGAATGCAAACATGTAATGAGAAGATTATTAGTGCCGTGTGCACAATGAGTGCCGTGTACAATACATAGGCAAAGCACACAAAATAAAATACAGTTTTTTTATACAGAATTTGCAAATTTCCTTTACAATTATTTATTCTGTAGGAAAGCTAAAATGATAGTCCACAAACTATGTTCTATGTCTGAAAATCAATCAATCCTGATGTACTGATGGCCAATCTAATTTCTTGAGGCCCAAAAAATGTCAACCAGTACAGAAGACCCACCTTTTTTTTTTAAAGTAGACAGTCGGAGGTATTTAGTAAGAAGTGTGGCAAGTTTTTTGAAGTTGTATTTTTTTTGGCATTTTTTTTGGAAAAATGGAAAAATGAAAAAATTATTTTTCACAAATGTTTTTTTTTTTGGGAGGGGGGGGGGGGGGTGGTTTACATACTGTCACCAATGCAGCAGTACAGCATCATCATATAACTGGTTTAGTGGTGATCAGGGACACTGAGTGGTGGCAGTACAAAAAAAAAATAATAATGGTTTTTCAATTTTTTATTTATTTACTTTTTTCATAATACACAATAACCAGATTATTGGTATCATTGTACTCCTTTGGAGAGGGTGATCAGTATTTTCTTTTTTTTTATACATGATTGCTTATAGCAAAGAATTTTATTTGCTATAAGCAAGCATTTAACTGAATTAAATTGATTCATTCAGGGTTTTTTTGTTGTGA